CACCTTTGGTCCCAAACAGCTGCAAGTACTTGTCTGCCGTGTCGCTGTCCAGGTCTACGATGTAGGCAACTGCTCCCGTGGATGGGAAAGAGACAGGGGGCTCAGGGCCAGGCGTAGGTGGGACAGCCCCTCCCCGAGGGGCCCACCGCCCCAAACGCAGCCTCTCCCCTCCTTAGCGACCGGCACGACTCAGCCCGACTGGAGAGCACCCCGTGAGGTGACCCAGTTCACCCTAAGGATGACGGGGGGATGGGAATCCAAGCCTTTGTGTAGGGTTCAGCCCAGCAGCCTTGGGAGGGCCCAGAGGGGAGAGCCTAGGTAGCCACTTACACTTGAGGAAGTAATCCCTGGGAGCCTCACTCTCGAGGTTGTTGGTGCTATCGGGGTCTTGGGACTCAGCATCGGCTGCAGAAGAGACAGCGGGGAGGGGTGCTCTCCAGCGGCCCATGGCTGGGCAGCGGTGCAAGGTGCTCCTCCTCTGAACCTGTGACGGAAATCCCTCTCCTCCTCCTTCCTCCCAGCCTGTACCCGGAGACAGGCATACACCCATATATGGTACCCTGTCTTCACACGCAAGCCTGGTCCTTGGGTTCTGCCCCTGATCCACCTCCTCCCGGCTCAGCCCCTCTGAAGCTAGGGGGCAGGGCAGGGGAAGCCCCCTTGATGCCCTAGGTTGTGGCCGAAGGGGCTGGACGGGTCATTACTGAGTGGTGGCTCCCGTCACTGGTAGGAGTTGGGTCCCACCCTGCGCCAGGCCCGCAGTTTCCATCCTCCGCTCCTGAACGGGTACCAGGCCTGGGGGCCCATGTGGGGAGACTGGGGAAGGAAGGGTGAGTCACTTGGGGGGGCACCCACCTTCCGTGCCCAACTTCCGCAGGTCCTCCTCCTCCTCGCCGCCTGGCCCCCGCAGCCGCTCCCCTTGGCTGGCACAGGCCTCAGTCAGCGCCTCTCTCACAGCCCGCACAGCTTGGGAGGACTTGGTGAAGCTGAGCTCCCTCGGGGGACCGGTCCCAGGGCCGCACCCCTCCTCCAGGGCCAGCCTCAGTGCCAGCAACCCCTGTGCCAGATAAATGACTTTTAAGGCCTTGCTGGCTCCAGCTCCTCGGGCTGGGGGAGACAGCGCTGCCGGGAGGATGGCACAGCCCTGGGAGCCAGGCATCCGCTGCCCTCTCTCTCCATTCCTGGCCTGTCCCCCCTCTGCACCCTCTCTGGCCCTAAGAGCAGCGCCTACCTGCAGGAAGCTGACGGAGTCGGACTCAGGGACCTGCCCGAGGTTGTGGCGGGCCCGGCTTAGCCTACTGCGCTGTTCCTCCTGCCGCCGCAGGTCACCCTGGGAGCGGCCCAGCATGGTGGCCTCCCCCTCCTCGATGAAGCCCAGCACCTCTGTCTGGAAGCCCTGCAGGATGGCTGCAGCCTCGGCGAAGAGCCGGCTCACCCTCTCCCGCTCCGCCAAGGCTGCGCTCTGCACGGGACGACGCAGGGGACAAGGGTGAGGGCCAGAACAGCGTTATGCTGGCCCCATTCTTTCGAGACCCCACCTTCCCACCCTGCCCTCTTGCGGGCACAGAGGGACCAGGCCGAGGGGTCCTGGACCCATGCCAGGTCAGGGGAGCCGCTCATGCCCCCCGGGGGGGCGGGGGGGCGGGGCAGGCGGTGCCCGAAGCACAGGCTTCTTTGGAGTGCACCAGAGCATGCTCCAAGCTCCCATGGCCGGGAGCCTGCTGCAGGACGGCCCGGGGATGGGGTTAGCATGGGGTCCGACCTTGATGAGGGCCACTGTGCACCGGGACCGTGCAATGCCAGCGCCCAGCTCGTCCATGCGCTCCTCCACGGCACTCAGGACTTTGGACTGCTCCGCCTGCGGGTGACACCGTTAACTAGCATGGGGCCCGGCAGAGGCCACCGTCCTACACTGGGCTACCAGGCCTCAGCAAGGGGGAGAAGAGGGATGACCGGGGTGGGGGGTGGTATCTGTGCGTAGGTGGGACTGGGAGTGGCCATGATGTCCCATAATATGCCGGGGTGCCTCAAGCCCAGGCGGGTGCCATACCAAATGCCTGGGGCAGGGGGGCGGGGGGGAGGCTGACTGGCTGTGGGTCGTCGGCCTCCCCTCTCTGACCAGTGGGCAAGTACAGGCGCATCGATGCTCCTCAATGTCGCTCACACTCACTGGAGAGCTTCGTTCAGTGAGGTACAGGCAGAGAGAGTGGGGTAGGTGCTGCTCAGAGGGCATTCAGCTGTCTGTCCCCCATCCCCAAAGAGTCTGTGTCCCCAGTCCAGGCCTGAAAAGTGGGGATTCCGGGCAAGTCCCCTGGGTCTTGTGAGTCACTGCTCCAGGCAGGAGAGACGGAAAATCCCAAGGCCAGAGGCATCAAGACCGGGCTGGAGGCCAGAGGAAACTGGGGGCGGAGGTAGCTGACGGACTGCGAGCACATGCTCCCACCACGGGCCCCCGGAACAGCTGGACAAGAGCGGTCTGTATGCTCGGTCCACCCTCTGCCACACTCCTGTCGCCTGCCACACCCATCTCAACCAGATGCCTCAGCCCAGGCCCCATCTGAGCGGGAACCGGGAAGAACCCAGCCTGGCCCAACAGCCGCGCTGTCAGGATCAGCCGGCCTGGGAGCCCGCGGGCCTGACTCTGCTCCCCCTTGCCTTAGACCCCCATCGGCCCGGACCCCGGCTTCAGGCCCCCTGTCCGCCCTTCCAGTCCTTTCCGCGTTCTCTCTGGGCCCCTCCAACCCCCATTCCCATCTCGAGCAGAACGTCCCACAGCGAGGGGATGGAGGACATTGTCAGTATTGGAAAGGACAGCAAGGAGCCTCAGGTTAGAGCAGGACATTAGGACCCTACCAGGAAGAGGGGTGGGGGCGGGGATCCCTGGCCCTCGGAGGCCGCGCGCGGCCCCCACCCGCCCCGCGCGCCCCCGGTGCCCGCGCCCACCTCCTGGAGCGCGCGCTCCTGCTCCAGCGGCACGAGCTCGTGGCCCCGGTGCTCCTGGGCGGCGCAGGCCTCGCACAGGCACGCGCGCTCCGCTCGGCAGTAGCGCTCGAGCGGCCGCAGGTGGCGCGGGCACAGGCTCTCCTCCAGCCGGCGCAGCGGCGGCACTAGGCGGTGTCCGCGCAGCGCGGGGCTGCGCTCATGCGGGCCCAAGTGCGCGGGGCAGAAGGAGGCGAGGCAGGAGAGGCAGAAGAGCGCGGCAGGCAGGGCAGCGCCCTCGGGGCACGCGTCGCAGCGCACCGGCTCTTCGCCGCCCGGCCAGGGCTCGGGAGCGCAGGGCGCCGAAGGCTCGGGGGCGCTGGGCGGCGCGCTGGGCTGGGCGCTGGGCGGCGTGGGCTCCGGGGCCGGCGCTGGGGCCGGGCCCGGGCCGGGCCCGGGCGCGGAGCCCGAGCCCTGGCGGAGCTGCAGCAGCTCGGACAGCGTGTGGTTCTTGCGGAGCTGCAGGCCGTCGGGGAAGGGCTCCTGGCACAGCGGGCAGCGGGCCGCGCCTCCGGGCCCGCCGGTGCCACCCGCGCCGCGGTGCGGCCACAGCGCGCTCAGGCAGGCCAGGCAGAAGTTGTGGCCGCAGGGCAGCGTCACCGGCTCCCGGAGCGGCTCCAGGCAGATGGGGCAGCTGAAGGGCCCGCTGCCGTCCATAGCTCCGCGGCCGCCCGGGCACCGCCTGTTCTGCTCCCGCCCTGGGAGGGACCCGGCCCGCTCGCGCTGCGGCGCCGCCCCCGGGACCGAGGCCAAGGATCCAGCCCCCTTCCGTCCGCGGCTCGGACTGCCCCCTGCCCCCCAAGCGCCGCACACCCGCCTGCGGGTCCGGGTATAGCCGGCGCCGGCCCAGGCTGCGCGGCCGGTCTTCGGCCCCGTGTGACCCTTGGGGCTCCTGGACGACCGTCCCTCCTGGTCCAAGGGGAGGGCGGAGGGCAGAGAGTGCGAGGGGGGGCACACTGGAAGGAAGCTGGGAAGGAGTTCACCCCTCCACTCCCCTCCACTCCCCCCACAGCCAGGCCCCGGACTCCACACCCATCTCAACCCGTTCGCACCGGGCCACGCCAGCCCCTCCGCGCTCCAGACCTCTCCGAGGCACTTGTTAGCAAAGTTTCCGAGCTGCTGACTGCAGAGAAAATTAACCGCTGATGTGCGCATGTTTTTGCCCCTTAGCGACTCTATTTACCCCTTGTGGGGAACTTGGACTTTTCTAACCCTGAAATGGGAAGTTGATGTCACCCTCCAAGTGCCTTGTCTGAGGGAATTCAGTTCCCCTCCACGGACTCCCACCCCCATCCCAGGTACTTGCGGTGTACCTGGGGCTAGGGTTGTGGGTTCCCCAAATGGAGGCATTTAAGGCTCATTCAGACTTGCACTTAATAATGTTGCTTAAAAACTATAAAATGGCGGGGCGCCTGGGTGGGTGGCTCAGTCGGTAAATCGTCTGCCTTCGCCTCAGGTCATGATCCCAGGGTTTTGGGATCGAGCCCCCGAATAGGGCTCCCTCCCCGCCCCCTCCCGCCAGGCCGGAGTCGGCTTCTCCCTCTCCCTCTGCCCCTCCCCTCTGCTCGTGCTTGTGCGCGGTCGCTGGCTCGCTCGCTCTCTAGCGTGTTCTCTCTCAAATAAATAAATAAAATCTTTTTTTTTTTTTAGATTTTATTTATTTATTTGATAGAGAGAGACAGCCAGAGAGGGAACACAAGCAGGGGGAGTGGGAGAGGGAGAAGCAGGCTTCCCGCTGAGCAGGGAGCCAGACGCGGGGCTCGATCCCAGGTTCCTGGGATCATGACCCGAGCGGAAGGCAGACGCTTAATGACTGAGCCACCCAGGTGCCACAATAAATAAAATCTTTTTAAAAAAGAATTAAAAAGGGGCACCTGGGTGGTCAGTCGTTAAGCGTCTGCCTTCGGCTCAGGTCAGGATCCCAGGGTCCTGGGATCGAGCCCCGCATCGGGTTCCCTGCTCGGTGGGAAGCTTGCTTCTCCCTCTCCCACTCCCCCTGCTTGTGTTCCCTCTCTCACTGTGTTTCTCTCTGTCAGATAAATAAATAAAATCTTAAATAAAAAAAAAATAAGCAACTATATGCCAACAAATTAGGCAATCAGGAAGAAATGGGTATATTCCTAGAAACTAAACTACCAAAACTGAAACAGGAAGAAATTAAAAACCTGAACAGACCCTTAACCAGCAAGGAAATTGAAGCAGTAATAAAAAATCTTCCAACAAACAAGAGCCAGACGGCTGCCCAGGGGAATTTTACCAAACATTTAAAGAAGAAGTAATACCTATTCTTCTGAAGTTGTTTCAAGAAATATAAATGGAAGGAAAACTTCCAGACTCTTTCTGTGAGGCCAGCATTACCTGGATCCCCAAACGAGACAAAACCAGACCTTGATCCCAAACCCCACCAAAAAGGAGAATTACAGACCAATATCCCTGATGAACATGGATCCAAAAATTCTCACCAAGATACTAGCCAATAGGATCCAACAGTACATTAAAAAAGATTATTCACCACGACCAAGTGGGATTTATTCCTGGGCTGCAAGGGTGGTTCAACATCCACAAATCAATCATTGTGATACACTACATTAATAAATGAAAGGACAAGAACCATATGATCCTTTCAATAGATGCAGAAAAAGCATTTGACAAAGTACACGCATCCTTTCTTGATTAAAATTCTTCACAGTGTAGGGTTAGAGGGAACATACCTCAATATCATAAAAGCCATATGCAAAAAGCCCACAGCGAATATCATTCTCAAGCAGAGCTTTTCCCCTAAGGTCAGGATCACCTTAGGCAGGGATGTCCACTCTCACCACTGTTGTTTAACATAGTACTAGAAGTCCTAGCCTAAGCAATCAGGCAACAAAAAGAAATAAAAGGCATCCGAATCAGCAAAGAAGAAGTCAAACTCCCACTCTTCACAGATGACATGATACTCTATGTGAAAAACCCAAAAGACTCCACCCCAAAATTGCTAGAACTCATACAAGAATTCAGCAACGTGGCAGGAGATAAAATCAATGCACAGAAATCAGTTGCATTTCTATACACTAACAATGAGACAGAAAAAAGAGAAATTAAGGAGTCACTAGGAATAAACCTAACCAAAGAGGCAAAGCATATGTACTCTGAAAGCTATAGAACACTCATGAAAGAAAGTGAGGAAGACACGAAGAAATGGAAAAACGTTCCATGCTCTATGGATTGGAAGAACAAATATTGTTAAAACGTCTATGCTATCTAGAGCAATCTATATGTTCAATGCAATCCCTATCAAAATACCATCAACATTTTTCACAGAGCTGAAATAAATAATCCTAAAATTTGTATGGAACCAAAAAAGACCCTGAATAGCCGCAGGAATGTCAACAAAGAAAACCAAACCTGGTGGCATCACAATTCTGGACTTCAAGCTATATTACAAAGCTGTCATCATCAAGACAGCCTGGTACTGGCACAAAAACAGACACATAGATCAGTGGAACAGAATAGAAAATCCAGAAAATGGACCCTCAATTCTATGGTCAACTAATCTTTGACAAAGCAGGAAAGAATATCCAATGGGAAAAAGACAAGTCTCTTCAACAAATGGTGTTGGGAAAATTGGGCAGTCACATGCAGAAGAATGAAACTGGACCATTTCCTTCACCGTACACAAAAATAGACTCAAAATGGATGAAAGACCTAAATGTGAGACAGGAGAATCCTGTCAGAATCCTAGAGGAGAACACAGGTAGCACCCTCTTCGACCTCAGCCACAGCAACTTCTTCTTAGAAACATCACCGAAGGCAAGGGAAACAAAGGCAACAATGAACTATTGGGACTTCATCAGGACAAATTTTGAAAGCAAAGGAAACAGTCAACAAAACCAAAAGACAACCCACAGAATGGGAGAAGATATTTGCAAATGCCTTATCAGATAAAGGGCTACTATCCAAAATCTATAAAGAACGCATCAAACTCAACACCCAAAGAACAAATCATCCAATCAAGAAATGGGCACAAGGGGCGCCTGGGTGGCTCAGTCGTTAAGCATCTGCCTTCGGCTCAGGTCATGATCCCAGGGTCCTGGGATCGAGCCCCGCATCGGGCTCCCTGCTCGGCAGGAAGCCTGCTTCTCTCTCTCCCACTCCCCCTGCTTGTGTTCCCTCTCTCACTGTGTCTCTCTCTGTCAAATAAATAAATAAAATCTTTAAAAAAAAAAAAAAAGAAAGAAAGAAATGGGCACAAGACACGAACAGACATTTCTCCAAAGAAGACATTCAAATGGTCAACAGACACATGAAAAAATGCTCAACATCACTATCAGGGAAATACAAATCAAAACCACAATGAGATACCACCTCACACCAGTCAGAATGGGCAAATTAACAAGTCAGGAAACAACGGATGTTGGTGAGGATAAGGAGAAAGGGGAGCCCTCCTACACTGTTGGTGGGAATGCAAGCTGGTGCAGCCACTCTGGAAAACAGTATGGAGGTTCCTCAAAAAGTTGAAAATAGAGCTACCCTACAACCCAGCAATTGCACTACTAGGTATTTACCCCAAAGATACAAATGTAGTGATGTACCTGCATCCCAGTGTTTATGGCAGCAATGTCCACAATAGCCAAACTATGGAAAGAGCCCAGATGTCCATCGATAGATGAATGGATAAAGAAGCTGTGAGATACACACACACACACACACACACAATGAAATATTACTCGGCCATCAAAAAAATGAAATCTTGCCATTTGCAATGACGTAGGTGGAACTAGAGGGTATTATGCTAAGTGAAATATTTCAATCAGAGAATTAATATGATTTCACTCATGTGGAATTTAATAAACAAAACAGAGGAACATAGGGGAAGGGAGGGAAACATAGAACAAGATGAAATCAGAGAGGGAGACAAACCATAAGAGACTCTTAATCATAGGAAACAAACTGAGGGTTGCTGGTGGGGGATGGGGTAACTGGGTGATGGGCATTAAGGAGGGCCCGTGATGTAATGAGCACTGGGTGTTATATACAACTGATGAATCACTGAACTCTACCTCTGAAACTAGTAATACACTCACTCTATGTTAATTAATTGAATTTAAATTAAAAAAATTTAATTACTTTTTAAATTCTATTATTTTGAAATGAATACAAATCAAAAATTGTAAAGTACATCAAAACGGGGTGCCTGGCTGGCTCAGTTGGAAGAGCATGCGACTCTTAATCTTGGGGTCATGAGTTTGATCCCCACGTTGGGTGTAGAGATCACTAAAAAATAAATAAATAAACTTTAAAAAATGTACATCAAAACCATTCAGTGCTACCATGGGACATGGCTTGGGTCCCATTTCAATTTCATAGATGCAAGCGAGGCTGGGAATGGCTTGCTCATTAGTCCCATTTGCTGGATGGCTTTTGCTTGGTTTTGCTTCAGTTTGACCTTTTTCTTTTCCTTTCAAGCAGTACTGCAGCCCTGTAGATAGGTTCATATATGAGGTTTAGGATTATTTTCAGGTTGCACTTTCTGGGTTTAAATTCTACCTCCTCCACTGGAAGAGTTGTGTGACCTCTGGCAAGATACGTAACCTGTCAGAATTCCATTTCTCATCCTTCATGACATAGTTCTTGCAAGGGCAGAGTGAGATGCAGGCATGAACATGCTCCTACAGACCTCAAAAGTGCCAGTTACCTTTTCCCCTTAAGAGCCAATTCATTTCAAAAAAGAATTACTCTGTCGGACAGCCTTAAAGCTACAATAATGGAAATGAAGTATTAAAACACCACCATCTTGAAAATCACAACTCTATGCTTTCCTAGGGAAGCCGATCTTCCTGAGCAGGCTCTGATCTGGGAAGCAGAAGGCCGGCTGGCGCTTATCCATGAACATGTCCCAACCCAAGTGGCACCCCTCACCCCTGCAAAACCAGGCGTGTCTGTGGTCTCAGCAAGCCCCTGCAGCCTGGCTGCCAGGCCTTGGAGCAGGGTGGTGCTGATGCCCGAGCCTCCGAACTGTTCCTGGGTCTTGGCAAACAAGAGATAGTCATGATCAAGTAGCGATCCCAGTGGAAACCAACGTATGGAACTCATTACTCGCCTTCCTGCCAAACTGGGCACACCCAGCCTGGTTCCGCTACTCCTCTGCTGGAAGAGCTTTTCCTGCACTGGTTTCTGCACGCCTTCGTCCTAGCAACCCATGACAGCCCAGCTCAGATGCTACTTCCTCCACAAGGCCCTCTATGATCTGCCCCTTCTTCCCGTGAGTTCCCCCCGGATTGCACCCCTCATTTAATATTTCATAGATCTTCGTTTTCTTCTCTCCTTCCAGGAAAGACTCAAGGAGGCTCTGCATAACATCTTCCTAAATTAGACATTCTTAAGCTGGGGGTCTTGGTGAGAAAATCCTCTGTAGTTTCACTCTTCTCTAAACTGAAATTTTGCATTTCTTTCTATAACAAATGGAGAGAATACACCACAGCGGAGTTAGCAATTCTGTGACTTGTCACCAATAGAAATTACAGATAGTTCCATATCACATTATGTGGTGACACGGAACCTGAAATGTCACTTACGTTTATCACTATTTCAAAAATACATTACTAGGCCTCTGTCAGATATTGTTATTTATTGTGTTAAAGAAACACAGATATCACAAATTTATTTTTTTAATTATTTTGTACCTGTATTTCAATGCAATCGGTTTCCATGAAATCCTATGCATTTTGTTTTGTACAATTAAAAGCATTACTTTGGAAAGGGCTGCACCTGGCATCGAGAGGGGCCCTGGTGATGAGAAAGGTTAAGCCCCACTTCTGGATGGAACCCTCCTGACCCTTTTATTCCTTCCTCTTTATACTCTCGTCAGCAGGAGGCTTGGAGGGTAAGGAAGAATTGGCTCAATTATTCTATATTTTTTAATGAACTTTTAATTTTAGAATAGTTGGAAACATACAAAAAAGTTGCAAAGATAACTCAGAGTTCCCAGATACCTCACTCCTAATTCCCCTTTTGTTAACAGCTTACATGATTATGGTGCATTTGTCACAATTAAGAGCCAATATGGGGTGCCTGGGTGGCTCAGTCATTAAGGGTCTGCCTTCAGCTCAGGTCATGATCCCAGGGTGTTGGGATCGAGCCCCGCATTGGGCTCCCTGCTCAGCGGGAAGCCTGCTTCTCCCTCTCCCACTCCCCCTGCTTGTGTTCCCTCTTATGCTGTGTCTCTCTCTGTCAAATAAATAAATAAAATCTTAAAAAAAAATAATAAAATCTTTAAGTGCTCATTATTATTATTTTTTAAGATTTTGTTTATTTAAGGGGGAGGGGCAGGGCGAGGGAGAAAGAGTCTTTTGAAAGTTTTTTTTTTTTTATTTATTCATTTGAGACACAGAAATACAAAGAGAGAGAGAGCATGAGCAGGGGGAGAGGCAGAGGGAGAGGGAGAAGCAGGCTCCCCGCTGAGCCAGGAGCCTGATGCGGGGCTGGATCCCAGGACCCCGGGATCATGACCTGAGCCGAAGGCAGACACTCAACCATCTGAGCCATCCAGGCGCCCCAGGGAGAAAAAGTCTTAAGCAGACCCTGGCATCACGACCCTGAGATCACCACCTGAGCAGAAACCAAGAAACGCTCAACTGACTGCGCCACCCAGGTGCCCCTTACTATTTTTCTGTTGAGCAAGTCCACTGGGAATTCAGCCTACATACATAGCCATGGATATGGTCAAAGCTTCCTGCTCAAAAATACGCATCGGGGTGAAATTTTTACAGCCTCAAATAATTTCAAAGTTGGATACGGGTTCCCCTGCAGTATCCAAAAGCAGAGCGTCCTTATGAAATCTTTCATAAGCAGAGAGTACCCCTGGCTTTCAAAAGTTGAGGTTCTGCCACTTTGCTTTACAAAAGACCTCCATTAGCACCTGTCTGCACTCACCAAAAGAAATCCGAAACCATGCTAATGTAGGTCTTTTATGAAAGCGAAGTGGCAGAACTTGAACTTTTGGAAGGCAGAGGACACCTGTATTAGGGAAATAAATTCTGGTAGTCATTAGAGAGACCGTTTATATGGTAATCATTCAGGGGAAAATATTAATACCGTGAAAAATGGTTATGCTAAATTTAAAAATGTAAAAAACATAAGTGTTTTTAAAATGCAACCACAAGTATGTACAAAAGAAACTAAGATACACCAAAATGTTAAGAAAAAAAAAAAAGAGGGAGGAAGGAGGTAAAAATCACTTTTCTCTAGGAATTGTGTTTTGTGGCACCCCCAACCCCCCCCAATTCCTCTGATCTCCGTCACCTTCACGGGAGGCCCGTGACAGCAGAGTGTGTATTTGCCACACTGTGTGGCGAGGCCCGAACCGCACACGCTCTCCTGCAGGACCAGGAGCCCACGGGGCGGCATCAACCTCGGATGCACAGGCAGCGCCTAGAAGCGGGCTCTGCTCAGGCAGGGTCCTCCCGGTTTAGTCCCTTCCTAGTCCCCGTGCCCTTCAGTGATGCTGGAAGAGTGAACTCCGGTTTCGGGGCTCCCTCCCAATCTCTTTCCAAGTGGCCCAGCCTAGTTCTGAGTCGATCTTCTGGCCCAAAGCTGGTCCCCTTATAGCTGTGGCCTCAGGTCCCCAAGCTAGGGGCTGGGCAGCTTTAGGGTGCACAGGCACGGTGGCAGCTGTCCCTGGCCTAGAGCTCCATCCTGTGCCTTCCTCAGCTGGGCTCTGAGGCCTCTTCCTGGAGCTCCGGAGTGAGCTTGGCCTCAGGCCGATGGCACAGGGTCAGGGTCCTACCCTCCAGGAGCCAGAAGACAGGGTAGAGGGGCTGGGTGAAGATGGCATGGAAGGTATGCAGGGGCTGGGCCTTGGGCTCCAGGCTGTAGAAGGTGAGGCAGCCAGAGGCCAGGTCCAAGTCCACGCCCAGGAGCTGCCCCGACACCCCTGGGAGGAGCTGGGCCTCCCCGTTGTGCCAAGCCTGCGCCCTGTCCTCCTGAACACAGAGCCCCCAGGAGCTTGGCCCACGCCCGATGTTGTCTGTGTGGGGCCCCTGCCTGTGCCGCGTCAGGTCCGGATAGGCGACGCCCAGGGTCACCGAGTGGTTAGATGCGTGCACCTCCCAGTAGTGTCGCCCGTTCTGGAAGCTCTGGGCACAGCGCACCTGCCAGAGCTCGAAGCTGCTTGGCCCGGCCAGGTCCCGGGGCTTGTGACGGTGCTTTACCTGCTGGTCCTGACGAGACAGGTAGAGGTGGCGATTGGCGCTGTCCGGATCGAAGGTCAGATTGCGATAATCTGTCAGGGACAGACGGACGGACGGAAGGTGAGCGGGCAGGCTCCTGTGCACGTCCACAGTCCTGTCCCCAGGGGGACAGATGGCACCTGGAGCTCCACCAGTGCAAAGCCACGCATCCGTCAGGCGACCAGCAAGTGGTGACGTCACCACAGCAGGCGGCCTGCGAGTGGAACCTTCCATTCACCTCATTTCAAAGAGGAAGAAACTGAGGCTCCCCAAGGTAACCTGACTTGGTAACGAGTGGAAGACTCACAGCTGAGCCCGGGTTTGCAGGCCCAGCATCTCCTTACGTGCTCTACTGGCCCCACGTGTGAGAGGCTGGCATCCTACGACAGGTGTGCAGCGGGGGGGACGGGCATGGAGCAGACATCCCGGGCGGGGCAGTCGCAGCATGTGCCCCCCGCCAACAGGTACACACACACCCACCGACACACGCACACACGAACGCACAATGCACACGTGCACGTGCACACACACGCTTGCTGGTCTCCTTACTCTGCCAGAGTTTCCTCCTCAGTGGACAAACCGGACTCGGGACTGGTGCCAGGGGGCCCGGGGCCTCTAGGAGGCAAAGAAGTGTTAGGGCAGTGATGAGGAGGGGAGCTCGTGGGGGGCAGAGTCCTGATCCCCCTTTCCCACCCACCATGGGGCCAACCTTACCCACGGGGCCCAAATCAGCAGCCTCAGCTGGTGCTCTGGGGTGGCCCCCCTCATCCAGGAGGAGGTCACACAGCCGGCTCAGTGACTCCTTCAGGCCGGCCAGCTGCTGATCTTCGTCCCACTGCGGAGGAGTCAGAGGCCCAAGAGGCCCCGGGGGCACCAGGAGCTGTGACTCCTGAGCCCCAGGGACAGTTGCAGTGAGCCTGTGCGCCAGGTGCAGGGACGCTGGTCCCCCCAACCTGCTGCCCTGAGGTCTGGTACCTGGAGGAAGGTCCGGTCATCCAGCAGCTCCAGGAGGTCCCGGACCCCGCGGTCATAACTAGCCAGGGCCTCCAGGTGGCCCTGTAGTCGCTCTTCTCCATCCTGGGCTTGTGCTAGCGCCTGGGTCTCGGCCACCTTGATGTCCTTCAGTGTCAAGGCCCGTCGCATCTCTAGGGCCTGCAGCAGGCAGCTGAACTTGCCAGAGATCACGGAGGCCAGGCTGCAGGCCGAGCTCTGCATGGGCGAAGCAGTGGCCTAGGGTGGCCAGGGCCAAAGCTGCCCACTGGGCTGAGGGGTGGGGGATGCGGGTAGCCAGGGTCCCTGGAACATTTCCCCCCACCCTGCTCAGTCCCTCCCTCCCTGGGTCCGGGGGCATTTTCAAGGTAGCTCACATCTACTACCCAGTGTCCCAGGGAGTAACTGGTAGCTGCCTAAAGGACACAGCATGAGGACGCACAGATAGGCCTTGTACCTGGATCTGGCTTCTCTGCTGCTGCAGTTCCTTCAGCTGCCTCTCGGCCTGGGTGGCCTGCTGCTGGCTGACCTCCAACATGGCTCTCAGCTGGGCCTGTGGTGCCCACCAGGGAACAAGCGACAAGAGGGGACCAGGGATGGCTGTGAAGTCCTCACCTCGATCAACAAACAGCTGCAGATGTGGGGCACCCCCTCCTCGTGCCACCCCAGGCAAGGCTGACCAGTTGACCGGCACTCAGAACACCGGCCTTGGTCTGAGCCCCAGGTGAACTGGGTCAGAGTCCCAGGGAGACCCAGACAAAGCCCGTTTCCAACTGGAGCGGGGAGGTACACAGGCGAGCAGAGGCCTTGGGCTTTAAACCTGACTTCCAGTTCCTCTTGCAGGCTGAGCAACCTGGAGCAGAGCCCCCACTGTCTTTGGGCTGAAAACCCACCCCGCACTACCTCTGGTCAATAAATGGCGTGAGTGACACTTCTGGCTTCGGGAGCCTTGCAGGGAAGGGGTGACAAGTCAGAGCACCAAAGCTATTTGATTAGTGGGTAGTGTGATACATGTGCAGGCTGGGTTCTTCCAAATGCCCGGCCAGTCCTCAGCCCCAGCCCTGGGCATGGGGGAGAAGAGGGCACCCCTCTTTGTGACTCTTCCGGTACCCTTGAGGGTTAGAATGTCGTGTTTTTATGGGAGCGGGACAAAGCATCATTCCCAGCCTCTGGTCAAGAGCCTGTTTTGCTTCTGCTCCTCCAGGCCACACTTCATGAGGCAAGGGCCATCATAATCCCCACTTCGCAGATGAGAAAACAGGACAGAGAAATTGATACTCTGGCCAAAGCCATCAGATAGATCTTCCTAAGCCCAATGTCTCTGTCCAGGCCCCACGGCCTCCAGCGTTGTACAATGTGCCACAGGCAGGAAGGGGGGAGGGGTCACTCTCTCTTGGTTCTACCTGACTGTCCCCCAGGGATGCGCATCTGTCCTCTCACACCCCACATCACTTCACCTCGCTCTAGCAAAACACAGGCTCCTCTGGCGTGCACGTGCCATCTGCCACTCTCTCCCTCCTTATTGCTGTCACCTGCTGGCCGGGGTTACCCACTTTCATGCTCAGAGCCTCAGCAGTAACATCTCATCCTCATTCTCTGTGACTTCGCAAGCAACGGGGTATCCTCCAACACTGGCTCTCGGCTCCTTGACATCCTCACCCCAGAGCCCTTTCCTTCACTCCATTTCAGCCACTCAGTCCTGGGGTCTCACCCTGGGCCTGTCACCAGCTCCAAAATCCCTATTCCAAGCACCTGTTTTCTCCTTTTATTCGGGGAATACGCACAAACATCCCCAAAGCCTCCTCCTGCTTAAGCTGCCCGCCCCAGTCCGGGCGCCGAGAGAGACAGGGCAGGGCACCCCGGTGTCACCTCGCGCTCCCGACGCTCGGCGTCCAGCAGCGCCCGCTCGTGGAGGCGACACTCGTTCACGGTGCACGCGCTGCATATGCAGCGACCCTCGGTGCGACAGAAGAGGTCGAGCGGCCGCCCGTGTCGGGGGCAGCGCGCGCCCGGGGCGGAGCCAGGGGCCCGGGCAGGGTCGGGGCCGGCGGCCGGGGCGGGCCCGGCGCGCATCGCCTTGAGCACTGCGCTGAGCGCCACGTTGCGGCGCAGCTCGGCGCCGTCGGGGAAGGGCTTCCGGCACTCGGGGCACGCCTTGTCGCGGCGGTCCCCCCAGTCCCGGATGCAGGCCCCGCAGAAGTTGTGGCCGCAGACCAGCGTCACCGGCTCCAGATAGAGCCCCAGGCAAATGGAGCAGGTCAGCTCGTCCTCCAGCGGCGGCGCGGCCATGGCGGTGGCGGCGGCGGCGGCGCGCGGGGGGCGGTGCCTCCCGAAGGCGGGCGGGCGGTGCGCGGCTCGGGAGCGGGGCCTCCGGGGACGGCGGGCGGGGAGGAGCGGGGCGCGGCGCGGAGGCGGGGCGCGGCGGCCGGCGAGGCGGGGCCTCCGAAAGCGGGCCGGAGTCGCGAGGCGCGACGGGGGCGGGGAGGATCGAGGGCCCCTGGAGCTGGAGCAGAGCGGCTGTTGCCTCCCCCACCTCGGGTACCTGGGCCCTCGCCGCGCCCACTTTCTCCCCTCTGTCCAGGCTCCGAGCCACCCTCGCTGCCTCATGCCGCCCCAGGATGGGAGTTGGGGTCCAGCTCTCGGTGGTCCCACTCTGGGAGCTCCATCCCCTTTCCCCAAACCCTCGTTAAGCGGCTCCTGTGTAGGGGAGCGGCCGCCACCTCCAGGGACCAGAACCTTTGGGAACCCCGTTGGGCCTCGGGGCCTCTTCCTGGCTGAAGGCCCCCACGGACCCCTCATCTGTAAACCTGGACAACAGCAGCTACTTCCCAGCAGTTTTGGCGATTAAATAAGACGGCACGAGGTTGCGCCGGTCAGTAAGAGCAATGGGCACACAGCTCTGGGCACACAGCTCGTGCTCCTTCTAGGCTTTCCTGCCAGGAGGTGCTCCGCTGCCCTTTTCCTTGAGCTGTTTCAGGCATTTGCCACATTGGGGTGTCTCCTTTCTCTAAGCTACGCCAAATTTTGGTGCTTTTAAAGTAAACAGTGAGGTGGAAATTTCTGGTCACCAACACAGAGACCAATCAAATGTTTTTTTCATACCCCCCCTTTAGTGGAAACCCAAAGTAAGGTTCAACTGCTCTTGGAATCCACTCTCCGTGTGGGCCCCCTGCTGGGAAGTTCCTTCTTTGCAGTTGGGAGCTCTTCTGGAACCTCACTTTTTTTTTTTTTTAAGATTTTATTTATTTGAAAGAGAGCAGAGAGACAGAGAGAGCACACAAGGGGCAGGGGAGTGTCAGAGGGAGAGGGAGCCCAACGCAGGGCTTGATACCAGGCCCCCGGGATCATGACCTGAGCCGAAGGCAGATGCCCTTCAGATGCCCAGCTGAGCCACCCAGGCGCCCCTGGAGCCTCACTTTTTATATATTAGCAGAGGAGAGGGATCCTGACTCTAACCCACCTGCTGTGGGGCAGTGTGCTGGGCCAGAGTGAGTTGATGGAGGGTTAATTCTCCTTATTTTTCTAACCAACCTGGCCTAATTTTGAGGCGGGGTACCCTCAAAGCAATGCAGCATTCCGTCTTCTGCGTTGTAATACAGGAAGCTCCTCTTCCTAGGAAAGGAAGGTCTCCTCTTGACTGGCTACTTAGAGGAGAAAGAATATTCTTTTTTTTTTTTTTTTTTTAAGATTTTATTTATTTATTTGAGACAGAATGAGAGAGACAGAGAGCACATGAGAGGGGGGAGGGTCAGAGGGAGAAGCAGGCTCCCTGCTGAGCAGGGAGCCCGATGTGGGACTCGATCCTGGGACTCCAGGATCATGACCTGAGCTGAAGGCAGTCACTTAACCAACTGAGCCACCCAGGCGCCCGAGGAGAAAGAATATTCTAACCATCCAGCAAGGTACAGGGGCTTTCTGGGCCCCAAGCAGGGTGTGGCCAGAGGTCTCAGACCTGCTTCTCATTGAGAGCATCCCAGCCTGTTGCCAGGAGCCTGCCACCAACCATGCTGTGAATATCCAGCAAGGGGCCAATCCTCAGGGCTGGCAAAGCTCTTTCAAGAGATCTGTGGGAGCAGCCAAGCCCCACGGCCTTTCTTCTGGACCCGCCTCCAGCCACTTGATCTCAGGGCCTGACACCCTTCAGAGGCAGAGTTGAGGGGGTCACCTCCCGAGGCGGGAGGCGGTTCTCTTTCCATCCATGAAGGATTATAGATCCATCATGGGGCTGGAGCGTTCCCAGAACACAGACCCAGACCAGTTACAGCAAAAATCATCTTTATTCACATGTTCCACCCGGGCCACCACCCTTGGGGAGAGCTCTTTTCATTCCCAAACCCTGGGTTGGGAGGGCCACAGAGGGGCTGCCTCAAGCAGGGCCTAGAAGCCCACAGCCCAGCCCAGTCCACTTTCTGAGGTGGGTCGCACTCTGGCCACTTAGTAGATGCCATAGGTGGGTTCGTGACTGTCCCTGTACCGGTCCAGGTAGCGCAGGGGCTGCCGGTGGGGGAAGCGCTTCTGCTTGGGGTGGTAAGAGGGTGGCCTCACAAACTCAAACACGGGCTCCCGCATGTCTGCAGGAAGAGGGGGGTATGGGCGTGGACTGATGTTGGACCGAGCCCCTTTCCCTCGTCTGTTAGCCTGCGACTGCCCAGCCAGCCCACCCAAGCAGTGGCATGCCTCCCAGTGGCACTTCTCCCTGGCAGGTCAGGAGAGGTCTGTGAGCTCAGGCCAGCCGCCCCTGCCCTGCCCCCAGCCCACTCTGGCCTTACCCAGAAGCTGGTGGAAGATGTGGGTGACCGAATCATCCCAGCGGCACTGGAAAAAGGCCAGGCCAGCTGGTGTCATGGCTTCTTGGTGCTTCTTGTAGAAATCAAAAGTGTGGAAGGTCCGCTGGGCAAGCTGGTAGCTATAAGAAGATAGGGAGCATTTAAGAGCAGGGAATGGGCATCAGAGCCCCACACCCCTCCTCCAGCCAGCCCCACAGGCAATCCTGAGAAGCCCCTTAGGATCTGCCTAGCACAACTACCCTTCTGCCCATCTCAAGCCTAAGTTAAGAGACAGAAGAACCAAGCATGACAGACCATTCCGGGGAAGGTGGCCTGAGAGGGGAGAGGGAATGTGGATGGGGGGGTGGGAGGGGTGCTGCAGATTACCAGGGTGAGGGCCGGGTGTCCCCAGAGAAGTCAGTTGGCTTATCCTGCTTGAAGAGCAGGAAGGCAAAGCGGTGGAAGCCGGAGCCTCGGGCAGGGAAGGGGGGCAGGTAGGGACAAGTCTCCTGTCCTTCAGCCACGCTGTTGCCTGGAATGTTGGTTCTGGCGGGAGAAAAAGCATCCATGAGTTATCACTCAAGGAAGGCGGCAGCAGGAGCATTCCAATCTGCATATTCCCTAGAGACTGATGTCACTCCCTGGGAGGACACACCCTGAAATGATCTTCATCCAACAGTCAAGTAGGAGGCAATGCTCTGTGAACCCTCAGACAGACTGCAAACTTGTGAAGGGAACAGGAGGGGCTCAGAGGCTAGAGATGGTCAGGGAGAGAGTGAGGTCCAGCAGCCTGTTTACTAGGCCGCGGGGAGCCGGTGGGGCCGGCTAGAGAACCACACCACCTCTGGGCTGCATCTCTGTTTCCTGAAGGCTCTGGGGTTTGTCAGGGAGCGTCTCCCCATCCCGACACCAGGATGGCCACTGTACCTGCCCCACATAGAACTACCCAGAGGATCCTGTTACACAGACTGGTAACTGCATTTGACTAAAAATGATAGAAACCATCCTCCCAGTCACTGGCCCCAATTACCTATAAGTGTCAAAGCTGGGATCAACCGCCTGACCTCTGCCACCCTGACGCCAGGGCCAAAGGCCACTGAGCAAAAAGTAGCCCAGCTTGGGCAGTCACAGCTGCCAGAGGCCTCTCACCGTCCTTTTCCCATCTGATTGTCACAGAGCCCCTCAGGGTGGCTAAGGCATGGGGTGGTACCACCCTAGTTTTACAGATGAGGAAATGAGTTCAGGGGAACAAGAGGCCTGTGGGAACAGCCAAAGCCTACTGCCTGCTTTTTCTTCCAGACCTGTCTTCAGCCAGTGGATCACAGGGTTCTTGACAGCATCAGGAAGCAGGGGTGAGGGGCTGCCACCTGGGTGGGAGGTTAATCCAAAGTTCCACAGTTAAGCCACGGTGGAGCCAGGACCGAAATCCAGCTACAGCTCTTTCCAGGATACCAGGGCCTCCTCACATGCCTCTGACCCCTTCCCCCAGCCCAGGTACTCACACCAGCCAGTGGACATATTCAGCATCTGGCTCCAGCAGGTGTCCATCTGCACACAAACAGACCCCACTAACTGCCGGGCCCTGCTGCCCCCCCCCGGCCCCGCCCCTAACTCCCCAGAACCCTGGCTCCTGGGAGGTGAGGGAGGCAAGAGGCCTGGTGAGCCCCAGATACCGACCCAAGTTGGTGAGCAGCAGTGTCCACATGGAGCCCTTGTCTGCCTCATAGGTCACCTCTGGGGCCTGGGCAGCCTGGTGGGGAGACAACAGGGAAGGTGTCACCCCCATCAGGGACAGACAAGCTGCTGTAAACAGACCTTCTGGAGGGGAGGAATCTGAGGGAGCTCTGGAGAAGGGAGAGCCCACTCTGATCCAAACGCCCTTGACGGTCCTTCGAGGTGCAAGTCAGCGAAGAGAAGCTTATAGAAGGAACCCTGCAGAGTTGCCTAGCCAGCTATCTGAACCACAAGGTGGCCCTTACATCAATGGACAGGGGCTAGGAAGGCTCTGAGGACAGCGGGCTAGTGGCAGGAGTATGCCAAGATGGAGCTCTTCCTTTCATCTTATATTCCTTCCTTTGTAATCACCATGGTGTTGTTTACCAGGAAACCAAAAGGGGAAGTCGGAGAAGAACAAAACCCCAAACCAGCCTACATAGGTACCAAGCTTATGCCCTTCACTGCCATAAAAACCACCTCTGTCAGTGCTTTCACAAAGGAGCTGTCCGTGGTCCCGGGGTGGGACGAGTCTGTACACTCAGTGGGAGAAGGGCACGAGTGAGCAGTTACCTCCGTTGGCGTGACCTCATTGCCGAGGTACACAGGCACCAAGTCATCTTCACCCACAGCATAGGCCACGTGCAGGGGGACTCGGGGCACAAAGGTGGCGCCACGGAACAGGTCTCGATAGAGGCCACAGTATTCAGCCAGACGCTGCTTGTGGTAGGGGCCACAGGTCTTCTCCCACTCAGCCCGCACAGCCTCCAGCGGGATGCGTGCTGGTAAGGAAAGATGCCGGTCAGGATGCAGAGTGGGGGCAGGGACACGGTGGGGCCCCCTCCCCTGGGAAGGCTTACCTGTGCGGAGGCGGGCAGCTCGCTCCTCCTCTGGGTTGGCACGCAGCTCCCGGAGGACCTGTTTCCGCTCCAGCAGCTGTTGGGTCCGGCAGACCTTGGGTGGGGGCAGCCCGATGTCAATTTTGTCTTTGGGATCTGGGGAGGGAAGATATGTTGGAGAAAGTGGGAACAAGTTTCAGTGAAGCTGCCAGTCCCTACCTAGTCCTCTCACTTGCCCAAGTTCTGCTGGTAAAGCTTACCCTTTAATTCACAAAACTAAATCACATGGTGCAGTCCGCTTCCCAGACCCGAACAGGGTCCAACTGCTAAGCAAATTGGATTCGACTTGAGATTGCATTTTCTGATCCCTAAACCAGGTCACACTGTCTAGGTCGTGGGTAATACAGGTGAGTAGATAATCATCTTAATTATGGTTGGAATGACCTTCAAGCCTATTCACACCTGGCCGTGGACATTCACCTGAGTCCTTGGTAGAATTAGCTGAAGCTATAAAGACTTAAAGAAGCATTTCTTATACTTTAATGGACTCACCATACAAGTCACCTGGGAAATTTGTTAAAATTCAGATTCTGAATCA